TAGGAATTTACCATGTTATTGAAGTTGAAAACAATCCATTTTTATTGTATTGAAAGAGAATTCATAAAGAACATTAAATTCCAAAAGATTGAGATTAAACTTTTAATGAAGACAATCATATTGATACAAATATTCACGAGTGAAATTGTTCCTAGCTGTACGACTTGGGTATGCACCTACTTGAGAAAGCCAGTATAAATATTTTTTAGTTACAATCGAGTTCTGAGCTTTATCAAAACAAAAACTATCATAACCCCACATGCGTTCCCAACGAGTCTTGATCACATCCGGCCATGCTGGTGTATATTCCCCTTTGAGATTTGAGGAAACAAGCGCGACCCAAATTATCGCTTGAGTCGAGACGGAGAGTAGAAAGTAGCATTGGTGAGGCTAAGTAACTGCACTCCTCCTTCCCACATGTTTGTCCTTACATCTTTGATCTTCCACCAAGGCGTAATCCATGTGACTTTCGGCCCTTCAGGATTCATCAACCATGTCAACCACTCATCCTCACCCCACATTTGTATATTTTGGATGGTGAAAGGTCTTTCTAGAAAGTGGTAGGATTTGTATTTGGAAGGTATTTATTTTGGTGGGTGGATTAAGGATAATTTCTCTAGAAGCCAAATTTGGAGTAAGGCGAAATGTCTGTCTATGATTATGTCAGAGGTACGGGAACTTTTTGTTAGGCTGAGTAGGGTTTCAACAAGCAAGACCCTAATGGGTGAGGTGCCTTGAGCCATTTGTGGGATCAATGATATGAGTCGTAAAGGACAAACGGTGTATGGTAAGCCAAAGAGTTGGTGCATAAGTAATAGGCTAACAAGGTATGGCCATGCAGGGTGGGAATGAGTGTGAACTCTGACCCATTCAAGAACCTTTCTCAAGTCAAATCCAACAATGCTTGAATCTTTGTACAGGTTTCTCAATTCCGCATCAGACAATCCGGGAAATTTTGCCATCTGAGTTGAAGTTCAAAAAGTGAACTCTGGTATAGCTAATTTTGTCCCACGATCACTAGATAGTCCAAGGATGGCACTGAATTCTTCAAAAGTTGGGCAAATCTCCAAGTTGACAAATCGAAATACATTATCTATGGGATCCCAGAACTGTGTCATGGCTTTGATGAAATTGGGCAGCATACAAAGCAGCAAGCATGTTTTAGCGTCCCTTAACCCAAAAAGTTGGAGAAAATTCCAATCCGAATTTTTAAGTTGTCGAAAGAAAGTGTGGCGTTTAGATTCGAAAAGATCCATTAAATCGTTTATGAAAACAAAACAAGAAATTTTGTTAAAATCATGGTCAAGATTTTGTGAAAAACATGTTATGAATGTGATGCTTTGTTATGAAATAGAATGGTGAATGTATGATGTGACAATATGCATGACATGGCGATATGCATGGCATGGCAATGTGCACGTCATGGTAATATGTATGACATGGCAATGTGTATGACATGGCATGGCAAAATGTATGACATGGCAATATGCTTGGCATGACATGATAATGTTCATGGCATGGCATGGCAATATGCATGACATGGTAATGTGCATGGCATGGCAATATGTATAACATAGTGATATGCATGACATGCCAATATGCATAGCATGGTGATATGCGTGGCATGGCAATATGCATGACATGGCAATATGTATGACATGGCATGGCAAAATGTATGACATAGCGATATGCATGGCATGGTGACATGCATTGATATGGAAATGTGCATGGCATGGTGATATGCATGGCATGGAAGAATGTATGACATGGCGATATGCATGGCGTTGTGATATGCATGCCATGGCAATGTGCATGGTGTGGTGATATGCATGACATGGCAGTATGCATGACATGACAATATGTGTAAATGAATGTGTGCTAATTGCCATAAATCCTATTGTGTGGATGCCCCTTGATATTCATCTATGATGCCGTCAATGACATTCGTGATAATGCCTAGACGCACATCTAAAGTGATTAACCTAATGCATGTGGTGCATCATGCTTTGTGAAAGTGAACATGTGCTTAGCGGTGATGCGCGTGTTCGTGTCTTAACATGCATGGCCTATGTTTGCAGAATGTATGATAGTGTCCTAAGATGAGTTGAGTGCACGTGGTGCGTGGCATCCAAGTGCGTGCATTCGTGTGTATATATGTTGGTGGTTGTATGTGACGGTGTCATAAAAACCCAACATTTGTGCATGGATCCTACAACTATTACACGTGGCTGCATTAAGACGTGGTTAGCATGGCATGTATATGCGGCACGCAAAACATGTATAATCTTATGCATGAATGCGGGGAGACAAGAAAAAAGCAAGCAACAATCACACAGTATACGGCAAACCTATTCCAACCTTATTCCTCCACGTGGTAAGTCAATTTTTTCCCCTAGGTGGGCTTACGCAGATAAAATGCAAGCATACAAGTCTTGGTAACCTAGTGGCAATTGCTAGGGTATCTACATATGGGTTTAGTCTCTTTGACAATGCAGGTGATTCATCCGATAGGTGCCCCTATGCCCTCGTCGTGGAACATAAGCGACACTTTCTCTTCAAAATCGGCTAAAAGGTTCCCACGACTCTATATACTTTCCACGTAGAACACGTGGTACGTACGGAGCTCGTGAGTGGTTCCTCCGATAGGTGTCCTTATGCCCTCCTGTGGAACATAAGCGGTGCTTTCTCGAATTCACCGGGTAACAGGGTAGTACCTAAAATGCAAGATCTACTGTATGAAATAATAAATAAAATATGCAAATGAATAGTTTATTTCTTAATTCCAATTTTCGAGTTTATATTCAGTGTTCATCCAAAAATCTATTTAATTTTTGAAAAGCTTTTAAAAACTTTTTGAATTAAAAAGAAAAGTCCCCAGCGGCGCCGCCACTGTGAGCGGGCGAAATTTTAAACGAGCTTGGAACCACGCTATGAAGCGCGCCTTTGGAGTTTTTGAAGGAAACAATTTTTACAAAGGATGGAGTCGCCACCCGATTCAGCTCAATCGGAAATTAAAAATAAAAGAGAAAATGGGTTCGAGATGAATCAATTACTAGCTCGGAATTTGGAATTAAGAAAATAATCATAAAACAATCTAAATTCATTTTTATTTAAACATGCAGCATTCAAGCGATAAATAAAAATAAAATAGAAATAAATCAAAGTTTACAAACCCTAACATCAATCTACCC